GAGCGGATAGAAAGACAGACTGAAAGAAAGCAAAGGTGAGAGGAAAATTACTGGGAGGCGGGAGAGGGTCTGTGTTTCCCTCGTACATATTTCTTTTTCTCCTCACTTTCACCCGATGTCGCAGCATCAAACGCTAACCCTGTTTTCAAAAAGCCGGCGGAAGCATTGATTCAATATTTCTCCCCCCGTGTTGCTTGTGATCCTTGAAACTGCTCTCTGGCTAGATCTAGACACACGGAGGGAAAAGACGGTGGGCAACATCCAAACGCAACGTGTTGTGGATAAATAACAGACACAGCACTCCATCTCTCTTTCTCTCCTGTTCTCCTCCTTTCTCACAGCCCCTCCTTTCTTTTCCCTGAACCCCCTCAGACATGGATACATGCCACGAGCTCCATGCATATGTTGTAGTGACACCAAATGCCAAACAATAATGCTCGGCTCCTCCTTGCGCTTTTTGGTAATGGCAGTGTATTATCTTCCAGGATCATATCGTGTGCCTTATCTTTCTTTACGCAAGGAGGAAAAAAAAGAAATGGGAGAAAGAAAGAGAGAGCAGGAGGCCAATAGTATAAGGGCTGCGTGTTATGTTGAATTACAGGAGCGGCCAATACAGACTCCATCTATCCTATTCAGCCCTTCCCCAGCCTTCTGCAGACAGAAATCAGCGCACACTGGTGACTGGCGAATGAGGATCACCTCACTGCAGCAGGTCCTGCGTTTCATTAAAAAGGATTTTAGAAAAATGGTTGCGGGATGGGGGGGAGAGGGGAGCAGAGGGGGTTGGACAGTGACGGAGATCTGGGCAGATATGAAGGCAAAGGGCAGTGGGGTTTTTTAAAAATATGAAGGACAAGGATGGATTCAGGGGGAAGAGCAATGAGGGAGATCTGGTCAGATATGAAGGCACAGCGTAATATGAATATAGCGCTCTGTGATGTGGAAAGGAGAGCAAGAAAGGAAATAAAGAGGGTGCGATGCAGCAAAGGTGGGTGCGGTATTAATAAGCCATTGTGGGGATAATTGAGGAACCAGGGAGGGGGGGGTTGGGGACTCTGAAAGCCTTTTTAAAACCAACTCTCCCTTCAATCTTTGATTCACTTTCATCACCTCCAGAGTGTGGTCACGTTGATTGTGTGAAATCTCCGGGAGGGCCTTCAATTATTGCATCTCGTCTGTGGTCTTCATGTGCAGAGGCACACACACACACACACACACACACACACACAATGGAGGCAAGTGTGCACACACATAAAAAAAAAATACATACTGTGGAACAATGTGAATGTACACTTGCCACACACACATGCACGCACACACACACACACATATGGCGCTCCCTTGATTTGATCCAAATGACTGGGGAGAAGGAGAGAGGGGAGAGCTGATGCACAATAGGGGAAAGGAAGAAAGCTTGGGAGACGTAGAAGAGTGTTGATTATTCTCTTTGTCTATTTTGTCATTAGCAGATGGGAGCTCGATAATGTAGTGGGTACTTAATGGCGCTCATACAATAGAAATTGAGAGTGAATCCTATGTATAATGACACATTGAATGGAGTGGAGACTTTACACATGTGTGAGCATGTGTGCAAATTATTCTGTGGACATGTAATGCACAGAGATACATTCAGAAGAAACGCCACCGAAGAAGAGTTCCTTAGAATTGCAAGTGTGTATGTTAGTGTGGGTGTGTGTGTGTGTGTGTGTGTGTGTGTGTGTGTGTGTGTGTGTGTGTGTGTGTGTGTGTGTGTGTGTGTGTGTGTCTTTCATATTCCAGAGACATATGGAGGACCACAGTGAAATTGTTGATCAATCATTGTTTGTGTCTTTTTTTCTTTCTCTCTCTTACTTTTCTATTCCTCTTTTTCCATGCTTATAAACAAATAAATGCGTCATGAAAGACCCAGAATGCATCATTCATACCTGCACACACATACAGACACACACAAACACACTGAATATAGACTCATTCTAGGTCATGGACGGCTCTAAGCCCTCTTTAAACCAAGCCTTTATTTCCCCTGTTGCTCACTGGGAGTGTGTAATGTGTGTGTGTGTGTGTGTGTGTGTGTGTGTGTGTGTGTGTGTGTGTGTGTGTGTGTGTGTGTGTGTGTGTCGCTGTGAGTGCATGTATGTGTATGTGTAATTTATATGGTGTGATGTGAATGTAAAACTGGACTTTTGTGTGGGCTTCTATGAGTGTGTTGGTTTCATGGTCTTAATTAAACGTAAGGTTCCAGTCACAATGCAGCCATTGGGAATATTTCTAATTATTTCCTACCTTTCACATCCCATTCGCTCTTCTATATGTGATTACTCAAAGCGACCGGAGATTCACTGACAGTGGGGTGTATTTGCACACGATTACAGTTTATCCAAGTTGACGGAAATAACTCCTGCAATGCTTTAAAGCTAGGGAGTTGATGTTGAACTTTGTTTGGTTGCATACAAATCTTTTACTTTTTAAAATGTATGTAGTTTCTTTATACAAATGCAAACATCAAAACTACCAGCAATCAGCAAAAACAGGGAACGTACCTTTACACACACACATATATGCTCATAAAGGATATGCACACACACAACACTCGCTGACGTAAACCCCCACAAAAACACCTACAGGCATGCATGCTATACAAATCACCCCATATATTTTTAATATACACCAGAGGAGTACAAAGCACTAATAGCCTGTCTGCTTGCCTTGCGTGATTTAGTGAGCAGCATATTAAAACCCAACGCTATTCATTAATATGTAAACTAGTGTGCTGTCATTAATATGGGGTTGGGGTCGAGGGACCAGGGTGCAGAGGGGGGGGCTGCGGGGGCGACAGAGTCAGGGCTGCCCAGCTTTGGCTTGATTGAGTTCAGCAGCAGCATTTGATAAGTGTGTGTATGCGTGTGCATTTAGATATGTGTGTATGGTAGCACGTGTCTTGTTGGCTCGAAGGCATGTTTGTTTGAGGATTTGTGTGTGTGTGCGTGTGTGTCATCATTGTGCGTGTGCCTTACTGAGGTCTCCAGGTCCCCAGGGTGATTAAAGAGAATAAATATGCTTGATTACAAATGTCCTACCTCCCCATCAACTCCCTTAATGTATGCGGTTTAATTGAGCGTCACGAGTAAAGTATGAGTTATGGAATGAACAGACAGGCCAATATCTCAGAAAGGCAGAGAGGGGGATGGGGAGGGGGCAAGAAAGAGAGAGAGAGAAAGGG